AATTTATGTACGTGTTCCAGCTGTACAACACTGTACTTACGGCCCGTGCAAGGCCCAATTCCGTCATTCTAGGATTAAAAAGTGGAGTTGTTTACGTTATCGTTATATTTGTGTATAATTGTAAATATTTAGATGATGAAATGAAAAAGGGCAAAAATTGGTACGGGGGCAATAATTAAGACTTACGGGACAGCATTGAATATTAATACCAACCTTGGATACTATGGTTAATATAATATAATTGTTGAATTAAAAGCGTGGATGACATGTGGATGAAATTTGGATGACATTGGATGAAATTGGATGAAGTTGTGGATGAAACCTAAAGTAGTGACCAAGCCTTACGTTGGCCCCGAGCGCCCGGGAGGCCGTCTGCGCAAGCGCGGCCGTACGAGAGCGCGGATCTAAGCTTCTCACTTCACCGAATGATCTATCTTTTCTTCTTGTCGGGCAGCGGCAGGTAGGCCGTAGGCCGTGCCGCTCCCGGACGAGGCCTGTATACAATGACCTAGCATTATCCTAATTTACTCTCATCTATACTAATTAGGATATGACCTAATATTAATGGTGGATGACGTTGGGATGACGTTTGGATGACACATGATACTATCACGGATATTTGAAATCCATATAAATAATTGGTTGTTTACATTACTGTTAATAACGTTAGTACTATTAATAGTACTAGTACTAACTAACTTCGAAGTATAGTATAACTTAAACATGCTGGGAAATCTGGAGGTAACATCAAAACTATTCCGGGGAGTTTATGGTTAATTCTGGTCATCACATACTCTGTACAAATAGTTAGTCCTCAAGTTTGTAACGCTGTATTGTGAATTTGTACAGAGTATGTGATGACCAGAATTAACCATAAACTCCCCGGAATAGTTTTGATGTTTCCTCCAGATTTCCCAGCATGTTTAAGTTATACTATACTTCGAAGTTAGTTAGTACTAGTACTATTAATAGTACTAACGTTATTAACAGTAATGTAAACAACCAATTATTGCCCCCGTACCAATTTTTGCCCTTTTTCATTTCATCATCTAAATATTTACAATTATACACAAATACAACGATAACGTTACCTCTACAGAATCAGCTTTAAAAATGAGTGCTACTATCTCCTCACACTCAATTTCATTTTGTCATGAGAAAAAGCTAAGGGGTCAAAATGAGGGCAATAATTGGCCGTTTACGTTACTACTCTGGCGGCAGAGAATGGGCTCCCTACATGCATTAGTACTGTAGTACTGTACTTCGTGAGATAGCGATGTGAAGTTCATTCTCATATGAGTTTTTGACTACCGTGTTGCTGTTCAGCGACCAGCCACCCTGATCTGGAATCGTTGCGCACGCTTTCGTTTCATTGAGTACAGTGTACAGAGTGTCTGCTTGGTTAAACCAGAAAGGCATCCAGATATCATCCCAAATCTCCACATCGAAGTAAGCCATCACTTGCGCTTTTGGCTCCATTCCCACCACAGGAAAGCCGTGCCGTTGAAAGTCCCGCTTATGACAAAACGGTATGTAGTCGGACCAGGGGGCAGTACCGGTAGTAGTTAGATAGTACTACTGTAGTACTCATCAAATAGGCGGTGTTGGCATCCAAGTTTATCCAATCAACTACCGGTAGGTACTTTGTACTACTGTACTTGATTCGCCAATGTTGGCCAATCATTACAAGTCAATACTACCAGTGGCTTCAACATATGACGAGTAAAAGTCACTGTGGTCTCCGTGTTGGCTGCAGGTTCTTCACAACGTGAACAACGTCGACCGACTGCATACTTGCCGACAACAATCGCAGTAGTCTCCACCACACCAACACATCAACAGGCACATGCACAAGTCGTCCCAGCATTACGCGTACTCAGTGCGGCCGTCAGCTTCCAAGAAGCCAGGAATCTACCTCGTGTCCGAGGAAGACCTGGAAGAATCGTTTTCGATGACCAATACACACATCATGAAGGAGGACTATGTCGTGCTCGAAGAAGGCGCGTTGGTACCGGGCGGGGCCATCAGCATGCTGAGCATGGAGGCGTTATCTTTGTTTGTCCAGTACGGCGCGATCGGGATCGTGTATGGCACCCTGCCATCGCTTCGGTACCCATTGATTAAAGTCTACTTTAACGCCCCTGGGTTTCAGATGGCTGCGTACGGCGCCGTGGTGAACATTCCGTGGACGTTCAAAATTATCATGGGCGGACTCAGCGACTGCGTGCCCGTCTGTGGCTACCGCCGCAAGCCGTGGATCATCTTGGGATGGGCCATCTGCTGCGCCGCCCTAGTCTTTCTCGCGACATTGGATCAAGGCCCTGCCGCCTGCCTCGCCCGGAGCGGCGAATCGTTGGTGTGCCAAACCCCAAACCTATCGGAAGCCGTCGGGGACAACGTGTCCAGCTATACCGTCGGCGCCATGTTCGCCACTCTCGGCTATGTCATGGCTGCGTGCGCATCAGACGCCCTTGTCGTCCAGTACGCCCAGCGCGAGTCGTTGGTCATCCGCGGCCGCATCCAGACAGCTATTTACACGGTTCGCGCGCTCGGCCAGCTCATCAGCTGTGCTCTAGTCGGGGTTCTCATGAACGGAAAGGTAGAGTACGCCGGAACGTTCGACTTTTACGTGCCGGCGTCGGTGATCTACCTCGTGCTGTGCGTACCATGTGTGCTGGCGGTGCTGAGCTCCATCTTTTGGCTCGCGGAGCGCAAGACGGAAAGTGTACCGTTTACAAAGTGGGCGCACCAGTTGTGGCAGCTCGTCCAGAGGCAAGCGCTGTGGCAGATTCTCGCGTTTCGGTTCATTTCCAACGTCTTTCACAACTTTGACTCGACCGCGGGCGGCCCCATCGCCCAGTATTGGGCCAAAGTCCCCCCTGTCACAGACGCCTTGACACGAGGTCTCGGCTACATGATCTTTTCCGGCATTCTGTCAGTCGTGGGGCGGTATGGCCTCAACTGGAACTGGCGGTGGGCTATCGCCATCACCACCATCGCACTGATTGTCATCGACGGCACCGTGTACTTGTTGACCATCTGGGACGTCGTTCGGGACCCGTGGTTCTACACGGGCGTGACCCTGACCGACCAGATTCCGTCCGGTGTCCGGTTCATCGTGTCCGTGTTCGTCGCGACGGAGTTGGCCGACCTTGGCAACGAAGGCGCCGTGTATGGTTTGGTCACGACTGTCAACAACCTCACGATTCCAGTCGCTGCCATCTTGTACAAGTGGGTCAACAGCTACTTGAAGATGACCAACGCGGACTTTGCAAGTGAAATGAAACCAAATGCTAGCGCCGACACCAAGAACCAAGTGCGGTGGCACGTGACGTACTCGTACTTGATCTCGTACGGGTTTAAGCTGCTCTCTCTCGTTTGGCTGTTCCTACTACCTCCCCAAAAAGCCCATGTTCAGCGGTTGAAACGGCAGGGCATCGTGAGTTCGTTCGCGGGGGGGGTGACCGTGGTGCTGTTTGTCGTGTTTTTGACCTTTTCCGTATTTTTCAACTTGGCCTCCATGTACGACGCGACCAAGTGGTGGCGAATTGCGGGGGGCAACGGGGTCGACCCAAAGGCCTCGGCAGCCAAACCATAATATACATGTGGTTCGTATTGGAGTTATTGTTGTCGACTACTAGTAGATAGTTGCTTCCGGCGGTATAGTGAGTTTTAATGTGATCAATTGTGTCAGTATGCTTGAACTACAGTGTACGAGATGGCGCTGCAATCAACTGTACTGTGATGTTAACAAACCGAGAATCCAGCGCCCGTGTGGTTACTGAGTATACGCACGGGCGATATAAACACAGGAAATGTTTGCCAAGGTCCTACAGTAGTACACGTTACTACTCGTACGCTGCCACCATTTGGTCACGTTGTACAGGGTGGGAGTCGCTCCCTGGGCATGGGCCTGGAAACACACACGAGCGATATCAGTTAAACAGTACGAGAATCGACTGGGTCACTTCAGAATCATTGGCTAGAGCGTCCGCTTCGAAGTCTGCGTAGGTCGCTTTCAAGCAATTGTCCGCCCATTTGAACACAATGACGGCCACGGGATAGTTGATAGTCGTGGCGAGACTGTAGACGGCGCACGAGTTGCCCCAAGTGGTTTGGTCTTGAGCAGCTCGAGCAAGTGATGCAAAACGGCCGAGCCAGTGAATTTGACTGGAACTACTGTACCACCAACAAGCGCCAAATGGCCACCGTGGATCAACGCTTGCTTATATGTCCTGCTATCCCACAAGGAAGCGTCCAAGTGGGATAACGAGAAAAATGAAACAGTACAAAGTTGATATTTGAAAACCCATCAATGGTGTGCTGTCGTGGTTGGTCGAAGGCGATGTAAACAAGGCAACGGCACATGCAAGATAGGTTAAGCTGTTGCATGATAAATGATGTCACAGATCAATTGTTCTGAGTGGAAGCCTTGAAGTCTACCGCAGTGTCCTAAGCTCACCTTATTTACAGTGTCAGACCGTGTATTAATACTGTACTAGCTAGCAGTAAGTACACACTCGCTTGTGTCGCCAACGTTGGTTAGGGCGTAGCAAGTGGGTCAACTAGTTCTGACAGATCGTCCACAATACAAGCAACGTGGTAAGCATTGTCGGATTTCCCCAACGCGAGTTACAAGATCGAATATTGACTGGGGGAACACCGATCGCTCACATTGGACCCATGTTCCCCCGTTGACAGAGGTGAGGGGCGTGGGATACTGTACGTGGTGCGTCAACGGTACTGGATCATAGGTATTTCCACCATATCACACATGGTCATCATCGATGGGGTGTAGGGTTTTCACTCGTGCTTTTTGGGGTATGTACTCGTGTCGCGTATTTTGAACAATTTTTGGGGAGTTAACGCGTGCTTCGGGTTTTCACGCTTGCGTGACTTGCGCGTGCTTTTATTGATCGATTAACAGTAAAATAAAAATCGTGTACATGATGGGAGACTTCCAAATCACGCAAATGAGTATTTCGCGTCCGGAACGCCTTCAATTTTTAACATGATGGCAATCCACACGACCCAAACTTGAAGGAGCGATAGCGCGACAACCAACAAGCTTCCCGGCATACAAAAAACTGTTAAACATAGTAAAATTGTTCTATTAGGTTATGCAGTACAAAGGCCAGCATCCTAACGTTATCCGCAATTTGCGACCGGTATTATATACTTCCTCTATTCCAAATTACTGCGGGCAATGGCTTCCCAGCGACCCCAAAAAATCATTTCCTGACCAAATTTAATGAATCCTAGCATGTCATAAAGACAATTCAATTATAAAGGTATTGTCCATTGGCTGCAAAGCGCAAAACCACCAATTTCGCGCTGTAATTTTGATTCGTCATCGGATATCATTTAAAAAATACAAAATAAAAGAGGTTATTTAATTATTCCGGGACCTTAAGATCAATTTTTGAATTTGCCGCCATGGTATTTCCCGCGCACGACGAGAACTCACGAACGATAACAAGTTAGAGGTCATCAAGAGCCACCATCGCCTTCGGCGGTGGTGGCTATGGCCTCTTGGAATTGCCGTTTTCGGACATGGCCAACGTCATGCATCCGGACGAAAAATGGTTCAACGCGGACAAGGATCACCGAAAGGTGTACCTTACCAAATGAGAAGCACACAAAGGCCGAGCGTGCAGAAGCAAGAGGTTCCTTCCGAAGGGCATCTTCCTTGCTGCCGTGACGCGCTCTCAGTACGATGCGCGTGACAATCTTGTCTTTGATGGCAAGATCAGGATGTGGCCCTTCGTCACGAAGACTCCTGCTGCTCAATCATCGCGCAATCGTTCAGCTGGAAGATTGGTGACTACGCTGGTAAATGTAAATGCAGTATAGCAGGACTTCGTGCTGAATCGAGTTTTACCTGCCATCAAGACCAGAATGCCTAGTGTAAGCAAGCAGTTGGTTCAACAGCAGGACAACGACACCCCACATATATATCTCCGACGCGGTGCTCCAGGCTGTAGGCCGTGACGAGTGGGTGGTCACGATGCGACGGCAGCCACCAAACAGCCCGGACTTGAACGTTATCGGCACATCCATGAGGAGAGGAGGTATGGCCGTGTCTGTGTGTATGGGGCTGACCCCACGACTGAGGGCATCTCTCAGCGGTGGGACCGGTCGATGAATGACTGGAATAGGTCCTTTATTGGTCGAGATAGAGTGATTAGATGGTGTGCTATGATCGGCGACGCGAAGGTACTGTACCAATAGCATGTTGTATTTCCATTCCAAATTCTCGATAAAATAGCTTATGCATCTCAAAATATTTACACGCGCAAGTCCCCCAATTCCATATACAGTAGTTGTTATTGATAATACACGTGTAATTCCCTGTTTTTCATAACACGCGTAAAATCCCCAAAAAGCACGCCTGAAAACACTTTTTCCATCATCGATGGCACCGTTTCCTTTTTAACCATCTGGGACATTGCGCGGGATCTGTACAGGTGTAACCTCACATATTGCAGGGAGCGTCCGGTTCATCGTGTTGGTGTTTGTCGTCACCGAGCCGGCTGACGTCGTTGTCAGCATGACTGGGTGGAGCCTCGATGTAACAATGCAAGGTTGCCGACCAAGAATACAGCTTGTCGCATCGTTACTAAAACGATGGCAAGGCTGTCGAACAAGCCAACGATTGTCGCACCATTTATGGGCAAGAGTGTTGAAGAAGCCGTAGAGAAAAATGTTTACTTGATGTAGTTTAGTATATTATACATTTTCGTAGTTGGTAGTTTAAGACGACAATCTCATCATTTTCCAATTTACTCTGTGAAGCTCGCTACCGCTACATTTGGTAGTACCTCCTGGTTCAGTTCGGCAGCAAGGACTAACACCGAGGGGCATAGCTCGGAGGTTATAAGGTTACTCCATCGAGTTTAGGCAAAGGTTCAACGGCGACCTTTCATAGCGCCTAGTGTAAAGTTAGCGACTGCCCGAGTGTTTCTTTTCCACGACAGTACTCTCCTAGTATCCGATATCAGAGTCTAGGGGTAGAGTCGACCGTTAGCAAAGGGACATTTGGTGCGTGTGAAGAGTCACTGCCGACAAAAATGTAAGCGACTGCGGCGAGTGGGAAAGTGAAAGCAGAGCGAGCGGCAGGGGCAGTGGCGAGCGAGAAGGTTATCCAGCGAGACCTACGCAGCGAGGACAGCGACTCAAGTAGTAACTGAATTAAGTACGCTCTCGACGAACTTACCAAGGCCCAAGCAACTTTAAGTCTGTCGTCCGGATACGTAACCGAAGTGATTGACGCACATTTTTGGCGAGACCGAAGTTCGAAGCGAAGAAGCCGAAGGTAGACACTAAAGAAGGCTTAGTTGATTACCAAGCGAGCCTGTAGTAAAACCTTTTTCCAATCAAAAATCATGGAGGAAGTGTTTGCGAGGCTAGTTGCGACTACGGAGCACCAGCAGCAGATGATCCAACAACCGCTGGAGGCCCAAACCCAAGCACAAGCGCAAGTGTTAGCAAATCAACAAGCGCAACACGAGAATCAACTGAAGGCGCAGCAGGAAATGCAAGCAGCGCTAGTTCAATGCGTGTCTAGTGAAACCCGAAGCTGGAAAAAAGTCACCGGCGATGATGATTAAGTCGGGTGTAATGAAGAATGGCAAAGACGTGAAGGTGTTGCTTGATTTTGGAGCGACGCATTCATTTTCTCGAGTTGGGTTGGGAGCCAACGTGAATCGCAACAAGTGAGTAGGCTGTAATACCAGTTTGCATGATGTATCGTGAGATTAACGACGAGTGAGGATAAACTAGGAATCAAACGAAATCAGTCATATTCTTGTCAGTGACGGATGGCCATCACAATAGCCGCTGAACAAATTACATATCCAATCATTTCCAAAAGACCGCCAGATTTCCAAAATGTAGCAGCATCTTGTCATTTATCGAGTAATTGAGTAATTTACCACTAGTTACTTCCTACCCCGAAACCCCGGTCTGCACTTTTGCAATTACTCGAAATCTTAGGACACATTGGCGATGCATCGTGTAGGGTATCACCTTCAGATATGTTAGGTGGCAATTTCAAGTAAATTTTGAAGGATTTAGCCTGTCAAACGCTGTCCAAGTATTTCAATGACTTTGAACTGACTGTGAATGGTAAAACTCCACTCGTCAAGAACGATTGGTTTGGAGGCGACCGATCGTTACGGTAACCTTAATTACCACTGATGCATAGATTCTACTATGTAGTACTTTGCTATGTTTGTACTTTTGAGCGGCCTTTGTGCCTGCAGTTTGTCCTTTGACTCCGATGTGTCAATATATTTAGTCGGCAGCCAATGGGAAATAAGTATTCTTGGAGATGCTCAAAAGACGTAAGGAGTCCAGTTATTTCGAATAATGTACTACTCTGATCCTAAAAGGTTGTCACCTTCCTCTTTTTGGATTGGCGGAATTTTTCTAATTTGGTGCTGTTTTCTTGTCTGATTGGTGCATCGGAAAGCGCAGGATTTCAACTTTGATTGGGTAGTTTTTGCGACTTCTAAGACACATTTGCTATTGAGATATGGGTCCACAAAGTTGAC